CAGCTCCCAGGAGCAGCTGTGCTTGGGCTGCTGTGTTATCAGTTAATTGTTTAACCAATATAATTACAGTAGGTTAAACTAATCATTTTTAAAATGATATTTACATCCCTAGCTCATGTATTCAATGAAATGCAGGAAGAGTCATAAAGAAAAGATAAGTGATACAGAAAAACATTCTAATATGGCTGGGGACAGGGGAAGGGACAACCTTCCTCATATCCCTCTTAATAGGAAAGTCACCCTTCCCCCCACAAAGAGAAAGGTCAGGTCAGTCTAGAATCTCAAGCATTTTCCAGTTTTTCCATTCATTATTAAGATAAAAATATTTTTAAAACCGTGATGGTTGTGAATGTTCACTTTCTCTCTCCTTATCCTAGATACAAAAAAAGAATATTGGCAATTTATAAGCAGAATTCTTACCGCATCTTAACATGCAACATTGGTTTCACTTCTGTACGATTAAATAGACTATTTACACACAATACATATATATCTTTCTCTCTGTATCCACATGCATTGGTCCTAGGCTAGGGCATCAAAGGCCACATGTGAGTTCTCTGGGTCACATTTCATTCAAGCAATTCCAGTTTAGATGCGTGTTTTGCTTTGGATTGGTTGGGACCTCCTCTCAGTTCTTCCGAATGTCAGCATAGACCACGGACTCAGACTTGTTGATTCTGTCACTGTGTTGCCCTCCAGAGTGATCTAACTGCGCATATATGACTGGGCCCTAAAAGAGAAAACATAGAGAATTAGTATTTTTCACAACAGGTTGAACTTCCCTTGCCTTACTGCAAGCAACACAGCAAACAGAATTACAGCAAACACCCAATCCAATAGCCAATGATACCTCAAAGCAAGCAGAATGAACCCTCGCCTACACAGCAACTCTAATCTGCCACCTTGCTCCCCACCAGCAGACCGTGGAGCATAGGATCTTCCCTTTAACTGAACTGGCAAGCATGTGAGGAATGCAAAGCAAGATTCAAAGTTCTGAAATGTACCAGCATTTCCTTAACATATTAACCTGAGTAGAAAATAAGTAGCTCCATCAGATGCATTCTGGATCTTTACTACAATAAATGCATTGTATTATAGATTACCATGGCGTGCTAGAGTTCACTTCAGGGTTGTTGGTCGTAGCTGTCTTGGTCTAAGGACATAGGCAGACAAGGTTCTTTTGGTAGATGTGATATCT